AATTGATAAACAGCCCGTGCGATTCTCTTTCAATACATTTTTACGGTAATTCGTTTTCGGTATTGAATCAGATATAATTCAAACGTTATTTAATTCCATCGCGGCCGAGTCGGAAAGTCGATTTGATGCACGTGTCGGGCTTTGATTTGATCGTTTTCCGTTTGAAACGGTATCTCATAAGAATGCAAATCGCGATATCGCATAGGATACGTAATAGTCTTCATAACTGTTCGAATCTTTGCTTAATTTTCATTTTATTCTACGTGCATGCTTTTATTTCATTTTCTTCCTACGTGTCAGAAAAAATCGGTATTTAAACAAAATAAATCACGTATCAATATCGAACAATAAATATTTTATTTTAATGAAACTGTAATCATCTGTTTAAGAGAAAGCCAGTTTCGTATAATATTTATTACTGGCGTAACACTTTTCTCTCGCGATCAGAGCTCATCTCGTATCCGATTGAAGATCGTATGGTTACTTTCAAAATTTTCTAGTTGTTTTAAGCGATGACGTTCGTATATACACGTTTCGACAATCGTACATCGCTTCGAGCGATTATTCGCGTGTTAGTCGGTCGACAGACTCGCATAATCACGAGGTTATGCACGTTAAGAAGGATGTACGAGTTAACTTGGATGGTTGCATTAGTGGAGATGAACTCATTCCGCCTATTTCACTCTGTCCTACCTCTACCGGTGCTCTAGCAATCGCTTCACATTCGATTCACTTTGAATACCGTTTGAAATAAACAATGTTTCGAGGTCCCGCGAAACCTTGACATCGTCGATACTCGCGGCACGTTAATAATAATTTATAATAATTAACTTATTCTACGAATAAATTCATAGTTAAGCGATGCCCGTTTTGAACTTTGACCGTAATTCTCTAGATTACCCTCATACGTATAATCATTCAAATTTCCTACCTTATATTTCGTCCTACTTGAAATCAACGAATGCGGCTCTCTTTACTTTCTTCGCCCATTTTCAGCTACTGTTCGAACTTTAACGTAATGGTTAGCTCGTGCAGTGACGAGGTCAGATCCCAATCCAAGTCACGAATGAGTCACGAAACGAGAGCCGCAGTCACGAAACCAACGATTCTCCATGCTGCTCGCGAAACCATTATACAGAGCGCCTCAAAAGAAATGCTCTTCGAATCAAACAGAATATCTATGACCATTTTTAGCAGATTTTAGGCTTCAAATTTATGTATCATTTCTAAAGAAACAGAGTAAAATTTCGAAAATGAAAATGATATGAAGTACAGAGTTAAATTAGAACTGGGGCTCTCTCCATGGTCCGCCGTCCGAGAGGCGGAAGGATATTGATCAAACGTTTATATAATAATTTTCATCAAACTTTAAGCTTCAAATTGGAATGAAATAAACATTTTTATGTTGTTAAATCTTGTCAGAATGCGTCAACCAAGTAATTTTTATTTCAAGCACATATTTTATCCAGTATTGCTGGAGGCTCGTAAAACGATCGGTTAAAATTTTACTCGCCGAAAGAAGCATAAACTTCAGCGTCTTTCCAACATCCTTTGATCGATCGATCTGTCTCGAGTTGTCGGGAAAATTTCTTTCAAGCCTTCGACACAAAAGAACGGTCAACAAAAGGTATATGCATGTACATAGACGCACAAGTGCGTATGGTATCGATCGTGGTGCAGGATGCAATTCCCGGTACGAGTAAATCTCTCGATATTGTTCTAGGGAGCATAAAAGTCTTTCTTAAACGTACTACGCTGCCCAAATCGGCTACACGATATCCATGCCGTCGTTATTGCTTATGCTCTTTCGTCGTCCTTCGGCTTGCAGTTAGCAAACCGTCCACGAAATAACAAATCTTCCGCCCTATAAAGAGTAAGAGGGTTAAATTACGCGGGACGCTCTAAATCTGGCTAAACAAATCTCGCGTTCTCCTCTTTACGAGCGAAATGTCGCCAACAACCTACCCGAGAAAAGCGTAATCGATAGAATGACGACCGAGATCACGAGACAAGTGCCTTCTTTCTAATCGTCTTCTTCCAAAAAGAACATTTCTATTATCTGTTATTATACATGAAACAGCGTAGTTTGACGTTCAACCCCTATTCTCCTCGTTTGCTACTATCTCAAGGTCCCTTTTCCCTACAAAGATTTTCTCCCTCCAACGTTCAATTTTCCAAGTTTCCCTACTTTCATCGAAATAGAACGAAAGTAGACTTCCGTCTACTATGCTGCTAGCTCGAACCAGTTATCTCTTAAAATAAAAGTCATTATACCGAAATAACGACCAACTTCAATCGACCCCATTTCTCCGACCAGGACAAGGACCGAGACCACTTTTCAACTACTGCCCGTACGTGGACGAACATTTGATCATTTTATTGTATTAAATATGTATATTAATATGCAGCTCAAAATAGAGCAAGCTTTCAAGATATACAATAGTCAAAGTGAGATATTTAATATGGAAAAGGTAAAGATAACTTCTCTGTTATCTCACTGAATGGGTATTGACTTAACATTCTAATTAAATGTTATTCATAGTTTTACCAATTATTCTAAAACCTTGGAATGGATCTGTTTGTGAATGCCTCCCTTGGGTCTCTTAGATCCATTGGAGTAGCTGAGATATTTGTCATCCTTATTTGGGTGACACTTGAATTTCCATGGGAAACTGATATTACTTTATTAAGATTTGTTAGAAATTGAAAATGTTCAGTACCCTCGCCTTTTATACTCTACACGCTTCTATCACCCAAAGGTTAAGCTCGTGTGCTTATAAATCTTGCTTGTCTTCGGATCAAGCAGAAACAGGGATGATACAATAGTTTGCACAGGTGTCGAAAGTTTCATATCCCGAACAACTTGGCATATGTCAAATAGATGGCCTCCCGAAGGTCTTCCACGTCGGACACCTTTGTGAGAAGATCGGGCAACACGATTGAGTTCATTGTCTCTCTAATTAACCAACGAACTCGGCAACTCGCCCTGGAATCCCTTTCCTTTGTTTACAAATATTTAATTACAGGCGTCACACGCTCTGGATTACACAGAGGCGTTTAAAGCATGTAGGATTAGTCGAAAGTTCGCGTACACTTGATTGCACGATAGCGGAGGCGTCCAAAAGGATTAACTTTAAGGAACCCCTACCATTGCTGGACGAAGTGATAAGACTCGGAGGGAAGTTTGTGTAACCAGTCGTTAAACTAATTTTATTTCAATATTGAACGAGGCTAGAAGGATACGCTTAGAGTGACGATGTTTTTACATTAAAATTAATAAAATTATCTTCTCTTATTATAATTGTATCCTCGATAATTGTCTCTTAATACACATTTCCATCTCTACGGTGATGGTCATCGTGTTAATAAGAATATCCAGGTAAGTCTGTCTTAATCCTTCAATCGAGAGACTGATTTCGATCGTGGGGGATGGTGTGTGTAGATCGAACGTGCTCGTTAATCCCTTCCCGAGGATACAGGATCTTGATACATCGAAAGAGGGTTGCTGCTCGCTTTCCCGTCGAAGCTGACCGCTGGTGGTAATTACCGTAGCTGGTGAAAAGCTCTCACGCTCAAACCCTTTCGACTCGCAAATGCTAGCAGACGCGGAGATCTCGACCCTTAAGGGAATCCCTTTATCGGCCAGAGTCTCCAGCAATAACCGGTCATTTTTCTGCAACGATCTCTGCAGCTTCTCTTCGACTACCTCCATTTCTCTTTCTCTTTCTCTTCTTCACCAACACAAGGGTACTTGGTCCGTGGACCAAGGAGAACAAACAGGGCCCTTACAGCAAGCTATACGAACGTATTTCGAACGCGACCATGGAATGGGGTCAACTGTGAAAGTAGGGTCACCAGGCGGGCTCGCTATACCGATGCAGTCAGATCGCTTTTTGTAAGAACGATTCTCTCGATCGCGATGCATTTAACGCTTATATGCCGTGCCCGCATTGAAATTTATGAACAGTTAATTGCATTAGACGGTGAGGGTATCTTGGTCATCTTTCACGATACAATACTGTATGAATATGAAATTATGTTACAGGTGTTTTCAAAATTTAAGGACACCTTCTCCTATACACAGTGAGGTGTAAAACTGAAACAATAGTATTGTTTTTTCTGAAAATTGTTATTTATTTTTATATTCATTTTGACGACTAATTCATTTTAATCCTCCTTTGAGAGAATGAATCTTTCAACAAGGCATACTTTAATGTGTGTAGAACCGAAGGTCTAATAATAAAGAATGACACTGCTATCAACAGCATCTAGATGTAAGATAGAGTCTAATTAGAGCAGAGAAGTTGGTGACGATGGTTTAAAATTCATGTGCCTATTGACCTTACTGTAGGTTCAAAGTGCATCATCTACTACAGTGATTACTTGTGTCAAGAGCAGTCACGGAGAGAATATATAATACCGGTATACACGCAATAATTAGAGGGGCATGGCTAAGCATAATCAAATCTAAACACGTGCATCCCTACTTAACAATTTTAATAGGTTTTATCAAAAGAATTTGGGTTTCCAGTAATTTATCCTTCTTTGGAGGGTGAAGCTGAATCTTTACATGCTCGACACAGGATTTGGAGTTTACTATCTTAAATTCATTTTCATTTTATATTTTTCTAAAATAAAAGAGGATATAGCCTTTCATTGGGCATCATCCTGCTCTCCCTGAGTTCTCAAACTTAGCATTCTCAAAACATTGACTATGTGAAGTGCCTTTTAACAGTTTAGTCTCTCCTAAACGTTCAAGGGGATTCCCTCTTCAAAAGAAGGCGCTTTTATACTGTGGCGCTATCTGGTGTTGATAAGGGGAACTATAGATCGATATATTTTTTGCGCTCCCTATCGGCGAAATAAAAAAGCTCATTTTGAGCACCAGACAATAGATGACGCCATGTATTTTCCCGCCATTTCACTTAAAAATTCTTAAATTTTTTAATTACAAAAATACAAAACAATATATGGTATTGTGATGAGGGATTGCATGCGTGTTTAAAATAAGGAACACATTTTTATTTCAATAATATACATTTGATTAAATAAATGCTTTTTAGCTGGAAAAATGCTTCTGTAATACAGGAAGTAACCACTTTCAGTATTCATTTTTTTATTTAAACAGTAAGCTGTATGGATAACCTTGGGCTTTGTTCCTAAATATTGATAATAGAAGACTGAAAAAAATAGCAACTAAACCTGCACCTATAGCGGCAAATATCCGCCGCTTTTTCACATCACCTTTACGCGATGCGGATTCAGTCATTAAAATCATACCTAATACTACCGCTCCATCTAATTACATCTTATTAAGGAAAATATCCGTACTGTTGATAGCAAACAACTTCATATCAGTCAAAAGGATACTCAAAATCATGACAATATAGGTTTCCAAAATAAATTGACCTTGGGAAGATGCATGAATGTAAGCTACACCTCCACTGGGAGATTTATGTATGAACGGCGGTCCTCTGATATGATTCCACATTTGTCCGGAAATCATTGTAAGCGTGAAAAACTATGAATAAAATCATTTTAAAATGAATAGTTTAAAGGAATAATCAGTGTACTAAGCTTCTAATGACTATCAAAATAGTCATTACCAATGCTCCAAATCCCCACATAGTTTTGTTGTAAATAAAATCCAAGTTATTGCGTCTGAGATACAAGAATCCTCCAATAAATACTAGCAACATTATTATTGCTATTGTGCCAGAATAGTTTGGAGGTCTAAATACTCTAATCTGTAGTGAAATATATTGTTAACGTTTTTATATTTTGGGTATAAAGCATGTGTATGAGGAGGTACCTGAATATCAGTACGTTCAGATATCCATTTTGCAACAGCTTCTGCTCCAAATCCTACTCTTTGGATATCCATAGTATCAGCATGCTTTGGTTTTCCTTTTGGTGGGAAGTGCATGTATACTGGTGCACTGTTTAATTTCATCTATATAACAAGTCTTATTTTTAATTATACATATTACATAGATAAGTAGTTAAACATATGTTTTATATACCATTTGAAATACATCTGATCCTTCATCAAAATCCACAGATGCAAAGAATAATTTCTTTGAATGAGATTGCAAATACCGGAATGAATTTGCTGCTATTACAAATTCATCATTTGCATGCCTAATGAAACAGAAATATATAGTGATTATAACTTAATATAATAAGTATTATAGATACATTACATTATACCTGCAGATCTGGCAGTGTCTTTGCGGTGCCATTGCAGTAAACATTACAATGACAGAATAATTTCTTGGCGTGGTTTTAACATATTCCTTAAACTTTGCGCTGTTGAATTTAATTACAGACCTTGTAAGAGCTAGTTCTGTTAATTGTTGCACCCGATCAGACAAGGATGAACCTTGAATCTAAAATGTATATAATGTAATTTAATATTGTATTTCAGTATTCATGATAGCTACAAGGAAAGATAAAGAGGTTCTTACATTTTTTGCTCTATACTGACAGCAAACATAATTCAAACTTAAAATAAACGCTAAACATATAATGTAACTTTTACAATCCATGTTGATTGTTGTTGCAAAGTAATAATATTACAATTACTTTTCTATCGGGAATATATTACAACCATACGGTAAACGAAAGCTCATTGGTTTATCTGCTACACGTTGCATTTGATATAAGAATATTTAGATTCGAAAATTTTTTAGAAATATTTAATATATATTTTGAAGAAGTTTATCATTTGTAATATTAAAATAATTCTCTTAATAAAACAAATGACAAATTTTTAACATCAAACATCATTTGTTTCATATTGATGGTAATTTTCAGGTGCATATCAAGCTGTTTACTCTTTGAGGAATTGGGTATATGAGATTTCAGTGTAATATTTTCAAGTTTTATAACATTTTATTAAATATTTTAATTAATTTATTATTCTCCTCGTAATTATACATTGTAATGCATTATTACTTCTAGGAATATATTATTACGGAAGTTTCATCAATCACAAATAATCTTTGAAATTCGTTAGCGCCATTGAGTTGTAGCCCTTATTACGTTACTGGTGTTAGAGCTATAGTTTAGCTATCACCGCATTGGTTGGTTGCGCAATTCTCGTTCGTTGATTCGTCATTGGGTTGATAATCTTCTAACCGTCATTTTAAATCCAGAAACGAATGCAGTATTCTAACCGAAGAAAAGTTTTGGACAGATGTAGTGTGACCTCCGCTTCGGTACGACGTAGTTTAACGTCCATTAGAGACAGTTTTTGTTTAATCTGTGGAAATATTAATTATTATATTTGTTTTAAGATCATTTTAAGAACACTAAGACCTTCAGAACATTGTTTAAAAATATTTAAACAATGTCATTTTCCAAAGCTAGAATCCAAAGGTTTAACGAACTAGAAAGTAAGTAAACACGTATTTTAGTGTGCTTATAATTTTCTTTTAGTGTATATATATTCCATAATCATTAATAATAGGTTAAAATAATAGCATTCTTTCTCTTATTTTATTACAATCCTGCGAGCATTATTGTGTTTAATTGTGTAATTTTAGTTCAGGATATTTTAGCGGGAGTGTGGCGTGTGATGTTCCAGAAGATACATAGAAATAATATTACAAATTAATTTTCGATTCAAATTTAAATTATTTTATTATACAATTCGTTCAATCCAAACGAATAGCTACATATTTAATACATTTGATGTATTTTTTGTTCAATAACTATCGTTATTACATAAACTTCGATTAAGCTGCGTTAAGATGGAACTAATCATTGAATAATTACAAAATGTGTATGTAGTACCAAAAATATTTCACAGGACCATTTAATTTTTAAATGTTGCGATCAGAAAGGGCAGGGTGGGGGGGAGAATAAAAGACGGTAGCGATCGATGCCGTTACGGAACTGTGAAATAAAGGCACGGTCATTGCATTCGAAGGGTAGACACCTGGGGTACATATTTTTATGACATCCAGAGAATTGTGTCCCTTGCATTTAGAAACAGCTGGCTCTATTTCTGCCTGCTTGTATCCACATGTATATACAGGGTGCGACCGAATATCATGTACAAGTGGGCACGAGGTGGTCCTTATGAAAAAATAAGAATAAAATTTCTTCATTTAAGGCTTAGTTTTCGAGAAAATCGAGTCTGAAAATCCTATTCGTATGTATGCTGTTACGGCTAAGTTACGGTTCGTTGAGCAACGTATAACGCGTATCGTTTTTGTAAACAATGATCTGTTCGTTGAAAGTTTTCTGTGTACTTTTTCTTGGACTCGGTAACTTTCAAATATGCGTAGACATAATTTATGAACACGATACGCGTTATACGTTACTCGACGAACCGTAACTTAGCCGTAACAGCATACGTACGAATAGGATTTTCAAATTCGATTTTTGAAAAAATTTTATGCCATAAAGAAATCCAAAAAAAAATTTTATTCTACCGCACCCTGTATATACACCCACTGAAACTATGATACTTTCTATCAATCTTACACACCCTATAATTCCTGTTTTTTAATGTATTAAATGTAAAAAATAATAATAACATAAACAAATTATAATATATATGTGTTATTAATTTATTCCCTTATATTGTTCAGAAGAATGATAATAAACAGAAACATCATATTCATACAATTTTTTAAATTTCAAACCCAAAATATATGCGAATTTAAATGTTGATTTTTATTTAAAAAGAGAAATTTTTTAACAGATGATGTACCTGCACCGGGCGCATACGACCCAAAATTTGATTCGAAAGTAAAAGGTATAGTTTTGATCGAGAAATCGGAAAGATTTCATGATGATAAAAGCGTTGCTAGTGCTGAATGCAGTTTGTCAGTTTGCGCTAAAAGTACGCCTCATATAAAGGCCACTTTCAGGACAGTAAGTGATCAAAAAATATAATTAACCTTTCGTTGATGGAGCGTTCATAATCTCAACGCCGCGAATACATGGAATAATTTAATATCCAAGATATGTATATTTTTCCTTAGCCCCAACTACCACGGAAAAAAATCCGCAATGACGCCCCGAGAAGTGGACCGAGGACAAAGCCTCGATCACTTATTCCGGTTCAGGATCAAAAATTGAAGTACGAGTCGCAGCAACACCTCGCGGATCTTCAGGTAGAATGTTCCAACAAAGACAGAACCATAAAGGAACAAGAGAAACACATCGAAGACATGAAAGAAGAAGTACAAAAATTGCAATTGCAGCTTGAGGAATTATTTAAAAAGCAATCGCAGATAACGGAACAGCATAAAAAGGATATGGAAGCTATGGTTGTAAAAGATTTTTCAAAATAGATGTTTGCGTCGTTATACTTTTCGTTATTTAATTTACAATTTGTGTTTACAGGCAGAATTACAGCAAGAAGTATTAAACGGCCACGATGAGAAATATCAAGGTGAAGTGGAAAATCTTCACCGGAAATTGGTAGAAGCTACAGAAGAAAAGGGGCGAGAAATTCAAGCGCGAAAAGAAATGGAAGTTGATCTAAAAAATCGAATCGCAGAGTTCTCGAGAAGGATATCGGTGTTAGAGATCGAATTGGCCAATAAGAAATACACTGGCGAAGAAAGAGTAAATGAATATTGATATAATTAACAATTTCGCTACCGCATTATTTGATATACTTATCAATCGTTTTACTTTCCATAGATTAAAACTCTTGAAAATCAAATTGCTGAATTGACCGTCAAAATGGAAAATTTAACTGAAGATCATAAGAATGAGATGAGTTTATTGGCTCAAGAGAAATCTGAGCTGAATTCGCGTATACATGATCTAAGTGAAGAACGCGACAAACTGGAATTAAAATTACAGAAAAGACAGAGCGTCGTTCTTCAACTTCAAACACAGTTATCTGCTCTGGAATGCGAGTTAGATGAATTGCATGCAGAATATGAAAAGCTTGTTGAAGATTCTGCAAAAGAAGTGCAGGATCTTAATTATAAACATCATAAAGAGATTGAGAAAATGGAAGCTACTGTTGAAAATGAGAAAATGATTGTTTCAGCGAAGGACGCTGAAATAACTGAACTTTCCATGACTGTTGAACAGTTGAGGGCATCTGCAGAAACACAAGTAAGTCCTCGGTCAACCACGCTAAACATTGACTTGTTAATTTTATTTTAAAACAATTGTTTTACTAAATTTAGGAGAGCTTCAGTCAAAGTCTACAAATGGAATTGGATAGGGCAGAAACTGAATTAGCAGAGAAAAAGGAAGAACTAAGGGCCTTGAAGGATCAAATTCGAACAGAGGCAGCAGAAATGGTGGCCAGAAGAAAGAGGTGTCTAATCCTTTTTTATAAAATATAACAATTTCCCCTAACATACTTATAATAAACTTCCGTCCAGGTTTGAAATTGTAATGGCTGAAAATCAAGCATCAGTTGCCGCCTTAACTACACGTTTAGCCCAAAGTAATGCCGAAGTGGAAAGGTTGCAGCACGAATTGAAATGCGGTGAAGACTGTATAAACGAGCATCGCGATTTATTAACCATTATGCGTAATAACTCGCAAATGGTACACGAACAAATGCATACCCTGATGGAACAGTTGAACGTTAGGAAGGGGTTGGTCGATCAAATCGAAGTTGAAAGCATGAACGAAATAGAATCAGCAAAATCTTTGTTCGAAGCTAAAATTGAAGATTTAAAACAAATAGCAACGAAAGAAGTCGGAAAACTGAAGGCTGAATGTACAGCAAAAACTACTGAAAATACCGAGGTAAGTTTGCTTTTAAAATATTATATTTCTGTAGGAATAAAACGAACCATTTTTTTTTAAATTTTAACATAAGATAAAGAAACAACTTCATGAAATGGCTAGTCATCTGAATGATGCGCGAAATATGCTGCTTAAATTGGAAGAAACAAATGACTCTCAACAGATAGAGATTTCTCGAGTAGAATTGTTGAATACTAAACTTAGCGAACAGTTAAAAGAACGCGAAGAAATTGTTCAGAAACATGATGAATTATTGGAGGAACAAGCAGAGAAATATGAAGCTGAATTAAACGAGGTATACTTTTAAAATTGTTAATTTTATATATCTCTTTATCGCACAGGAAGGCGAGGAATATATCTACTTTCTTATATTATTTATAGGCGAAATCTAAAATCCAAGATCTTTATGATAAAATTAAAAATCTTGAAGAAAGAAATATGCATTTGAAGGTAATTAATAATTTAAATATATGACATTTTATAATATACTTATAACAGATTACTAAAACATTATTCCTATTCAGGATAAAGTTGAATTATTTCAAGAAGAACGACACAAGTGGGAAACATCCGACAACACAGTTGTGAAAGAACTAGAAAAAGAAAGGTCTCTACGAGAAACTCTTGAAGAGTAAGTTACCAATATAAATTACAAACATGTCTCATAACTTTATAAAGAAACGGAATAATAAATTTTTTATAACTACTTAGAGAAAACAAAAATCTTGCCGAGGATAATGAACGTCTTGCGAAAAATTATCAAGAAATTAATGAGAAGTATGCTGAACTAGTAGGCCATTATAATCATAGG